GACTTGCTTCTCCTCACCCTTGCTTCTGTTCATTATTCCTTATATTTCCCTCAGATGTGGCCGGAGCAGTTAATTAACGGGTCACTGTTTGCTGTTCCCGTTTTAGGCTGCGTGTCCTGTGCTTCAGAGTGCTGCTGTGCTCAGAACTCAGCACCCCTGGCCGGGCAGGGTGTCTCTTGGCCCCTGACAGCCTGGGTACGGTGCTTTCGGGTCTTTCAAGGGCTGCCGGTTTCTCCTGCGTACGCAGACACCAGTTCATCGACAGCTTTGGCTTTCACGAACAGAGAGCCTTCGAAACAGGCACCAGGTGCCGGGTCTGTTTCTGTCAGCGTGTGCTGTGTTGTGCCAGGGAGCTCCGGCCCCGCGTTCCCCGCGCTTCCCGGCCCGCGTTCCCCGCGCTTCCCGGCAGAGCCGCTCGGGCCGCGTTCGCTGCCGTAGCGCGCAGGAGCCGGCCCCGCTTCGGCTGCTCTTTGTATTGCCAGCGAGCATGGTCTTGGTTTAGAGGCGCTCACAGGAAGGGAGATCGGCCGGAAAGGTCAGCAGCGAGGGTTTAGTGTTGGCAGCAGCTCCGGCCGTGCACTGCGGGTCAGGCAGGGGCAGGGAGCTCGTTCCCAGAGCTGGCCCGGGCCCGCCCGGCTGTGTCCCGAGGCTGTCCTGGTGATGCCCTGGGCTCTGTCACCCTCCGGGCAGGGGCTGTGCCTGCGGGCACCTCGGGCACTGTCCGTGCTCCTGCTGTTCTGGTGATGTCCCTGTACCCGGTCACTGTCACCCTCCCGGGCAGGGGCTGTGCCTGCGGGCACCTCGGGCACTGTCCGTGCTCCTGCTGCTGTTCTGGTGATGCCCTGGGCGCTGTCACCCTCCGGGCAGGGGCTGTGCCTGCGGGCACCTCGGGCACTGTCCGTGCTCCTGCTGTCCCTGGTGATGTCCCTGTGCCCTGGGCTCTGTCACCCTCCGGGCAGGGGCTGTGCCTGCGGGCACCTCGGGCACTGTCCGTGCTCCTCCTGCTGTTCCTGGTGATGCCCTGGGCTCTGTCACCCGCCCGGGCAGGGGCTGTGCCTGCGGGCACCTCGGGCACTGTCCGTGCTCCTGCTGCTGTTCTGGTGATGTCCCTGTGCCCTGGGCACTGTCACCCTCCCGGGCAGGGGCTGTGCCTGCGGGCACCTCGGGCACTGTCCGTGCTTGTGCTCCTGCTGCTCGCGGCCGTGCCGTGCAGGCCCTGTCCCCGTCCCCTGTCACAGGAGCAGTGGCAGCAGCGCCTTCCCCATCCTCTCCGCTCAGGCTCTGCTTCACCCCGGGTTACCTTCTGGCTTTTTTCGTTTCTCCTGGTTGGGTGTCCCACGAGCCCCTGCGTTGCTCAGCCTGGGAGTAAATTGTCCTTAAAGCCCTGGATGACGGACGCGTGTGTCCAACCCCTGCTTTTCAGTCTGTGTTGATCAGGCTGTGCTGTGTTTTTCTCCCCCGCACCTGTTCCTTGGTCCTGGTGACTGTCACTGAGCTGTGACAGCATCGGGATAGGACTGTTCTTTTTCGGCTGCTCCTTGAGAAAATTTCGGGCTTTCAGAAATGCTGGACTAAGGGAGACCACAGTTGTGTTTGTAAGTTGTTTGTGCAAATGCATGGAATAAAAATACAGTATTTGAGTAAAAGTTTGGATTTTGAAGAATCTGCATTTTTCTGTCAATGTTTTTTCTTCAACTTGTAATTCTAGTTTTCCTGTTTGGTCCTGGTTGGTTTGCCTGCATGGGCTTTGAAATGTTGTGAACTCATAATGTGAACAGAACATGCAGATTGTCATCTTTTTGTTTGTCATTTAAGGGTGTAAAGTGGTTACAAAACACCACATTAATAGTACCCAGCTAATGGGGGAGTTTTGCCAGTATCGTCTGTGTAATTCAAGAGAGCATAGCAACAGCAGTGCTTACAAGTCTATTTGAAAAAAAAATAAAATTAAATCCAGTGGGTCTTTGAATATAAATGTCTAAAGGGTGCCAGTAAATTTACAAAGACAATATAAGAGATCAAGAATATTGATCAAAAATTCACGATATAAATAATTCTCTTGAAACAACTGTGATGGCCAGCCATGTTGATAGACTCAAAAGAAATTTTTGAGTAAGCCCGTTGATCAGAACTTGATCAAAGGTTTTGCTTTTCATTAAATAAGTAGAAAGCCAATTAAAATAAAGGCAACGGAAAATAGCCTGTATTTTCATATTTTTCTTTGTGTGTCTTGAAGGTTAAGGTGAAAAGGCTCTGGGTCCTGCCTGGGACTGCACTCTGGGAGTCTGTGAGTGCAGCAGGGCCCCTGCGGTGCTGTGGGGTGCCAGGAGACTTCTGGAACTGACAGGGTTCCTGTGGTCCCGCAGCCCATGGCAGGGCTCTTGGGGCTGTTTCAGTCACTGTAAAAATCGGGGCTGGTTGTGCCATGTGTGTTCAGGCAGTGCGCAGAGTCCAAGTGGCCAGTTTTCCTCTGATTCATTTTGGAACCCAGTTTTCACAAAGCGAGTCAAGATTTTTTTTTCCTTTTAGCTTAAAAAATGAGCCTATTCTTTGCTAAAAATAAACTTCACAAAATAGAACCTGCTTTCTATAATTCATTGGCTTTCTTCCATTTTCCTCTGTACAAAGCTGAAAAGAAATTTTCCAAGCTGTTAATTTAGTTTCATTTAGTTCTTTTCCCTTTTTCCTTTTGAATGAAAGGTTCCTTACCCTGTCTAAATATATACTCTCTCATTTTTTTTAAAAGACTCCTTCCCCATCTGAATATATTTTTGCAATAGGCTTAAAGCTTTCCTGTTGGCTGTTGAGTGTAAATTTGTAGGAAATAGAAGTACTGGGGGGAAGAGAGACTACTTGTATGTTCGATTTGAAAAGCCGCTTGTTTTTGGGCTATTACCAGCCCATGTGGTGCTCATGTGTTCACAGGCTGACTGGTTTTCCTTACAAACCTGACCATTACAGTGACCAGTGTGACAGAAATAGACTTCAAGTGGAAACTCGTCATGAAAAGAGATAGTTTTAGTGGGATTTGGAATTCCAGGAAAAGGTCAAAACTGCTTTTAATTGAGGGGAGCAGTGCATGGGGATGCGTGTCCTGGTGTTTTAATGTGGAGCCCACGTGGTGTTGCTGTCTGGAAGTTGTGCTTGTTTGAGGGGAAGGTTTCTATTTGTGGCTCAGTGGAGTCAAACGTGTGCCTGAAGGGTGGGATGAAACCAGGGCCGTGCTCCTGCAGGCGCAGGGGCGTTTGCTGACTCTGCCTGGCAGTTTGGTGCGTGCGAGGAGCCAATGACCCCGAGCAGTCCGTGCTGCCCAGCCTCGTGTCCCCGGGCAGGAGGGTGGGCACGGGGCAGAGCGCCCTGGAGCCCTGAGCTGCAAGGGAGCATGCACGGAGAGGAGAGGAGAGCCCTGGGCACCTGGGAGAGACACCTGGAGCAGAGCCCTGCCGCTCCTTGCGGTGGCAGGAGAGCTGGAGAGGGGCAGGGCACAGGGAATGCTTCCCACTGCCAGAGGGCAGAAGGAGACTGATAAAATGGGCTTTGGATTAGTGACCCGGCAGAAATTGGTTCATCGGTGAATGGGTATGAAAGGATTTAGCATGAAAGAGGACAGGGAAAAGATTAATTTCCATTATGTTACAAAAAGAATGAGATAATTTAATGAAGGACAGAGTGCAGAGAGAAAGGAAGAAGTCCAAAGTCTGTGGAAGACATGAAATATAAGGTGCCTATTTTTAGACAGAAAAATAAGAGGAAGATAAATTATCTTTCTACTTGATTGTTATCTCCAGTCCTTCAAAAGTTCAAATTGTTTCAATTTATATGAGGTGGCTGGAGAGGAGTCTGAGGTGAGGGCTAGGCTACAGAATTGTACCACAGAGTGGTGAAAGTGGCAAGAAAAGACAGTGCCAGAGGGGACTGCTGGAGGAGGGCACAGCAGTGGGAGCCAGCAGGGCCCTTCCTGTGCAGCCACGGGCACACGGCTAGGGTGAGCCAGGGACAGGGCTGGCACGGGCTGGGCACAGGAGTCGGTGCTGGCTGCCCCAGGGAGCTCCTGAGCACCCTTTTCCTTGGAGCTGGTTACAGGAACTTAGTGGGCACCCTCCAGTGCTGCCTCTCCTGCTCCAGTTTTTGTTTCCCAGTTGTATCCAGCTCTTTGAACATGGCACTTGATGGGAGAAGAGAGCAGAACAGAAGGCTGGTGCCGTGAGTTTGCCTCTGTGCTCTAGTGTCAGAGCTGTTTGTCAGGGATGCGCTGTCTCTGTTTCCAGTCTGATATGTTCTGCTGCCTCCCACCGATTCTGGACGTTCCTGCCACTGCTGTGACAATAGTCTGATTTATATTGTTATTCCCCACTAGGATGCAAAAATTACCCAGAAGTCTTGTTGAAGATAAAGCTCAACAATTCAATTCTCTCCCTCTGAGTTCCCTTCTCAGCCCTCTGAGGATGGGATCTGTTGCTGAAAAGACAGAACGTAGCACTTAACTGCAGTTTTGCTGCTTCAGTTTTCATAATTTCTGGAGCAGTCTGAAAATGCTTCTCCCAGTTTGTCCTTGTCAGGAGGTCTGGTGGGATGGAGCATCCCCAAAAGCGCTGTCATTCCTCTGAACCAACGTGTGTGAAGTAGCTGTGGGTCACTGGCAGCTCAGGTGGCAGCATCTGGGTGTGGGCAGGCTGGTGAAGTTTCTGATCCCTAGGTGATGAGTATGCCCCTGTAACAGGACAGAGTTCAGGTGTGCCATTGCCTGATAAACGTGTGGGTAGGAATGCTGTGCAGTCATACACAAAATGCACCTTTGTGGTGGGAACCACAGGGGACTCGGGAATGAAAGGGTGGGGCCTGTCCAGTGGCATCGTGGAGGAACATCCTTGTGTTTGTACTTTTTGCTTTAATTGTGAAAAAAGCTCCCTTCTTGAATGCACTGAGGAAAGCAATAATACCACGATATTGTTGTACAAATAGATTTCTCTTGTAATTAATTTCTGCCTTTTGTTTTTCAGCCAGAAAATTTACAGAAGAATTGGCTTCGGGAATTTTATCAGGTAAGGTAAAGTTTATTTTCTCATGAAGTTTTGTGCATCTTTGTTTATTGACCTAATTAGTAATGTCAGGATCTTTTGTTCTGTGAAGTAAAATTACTATTTTATAGTGAATTTAATTTATAATAAAAGATATCCCTGAAAATGTGTGTCTTCCTGGATTTCTAAGTAATCATTATAAAAATTCAGCATATAAGCACCATTTGCTCTCGTCAACAATTCTCTGCCTAAAAAATAGATTCAGGTTTTATAAAATTAACTTCAATTTGGCATGAAATAGTGTTTTAAGTCTACTGAATAAGATATATTTTTGAGTACTTAAAAAAATAATCTGTTGGGAAGTCCAGTTTACCTTAAAATTGAAATATGACAATTTTGGGGATTGGTTTGCAATAAATAAGTCCTGTCTGCTCTTTCTTAACAATTTTCTTGTTTGGTAATGTGGAAATATTGACACTGAACCCATATTATAAAATGTGCTGTAAGCTTCTGGTGTGAGGGGGTTTTTAAAGTATAAAAGCCACTCTCACACACCGTGTTATTGTAGTAGAGACTTACTAACCTTGCAGTCTTTGTGCAGAAATGTGGCAATAAGCAACAGGAAGTGAACGCTGCTGGGGCAGGGAGGTGTCATCCCTGGGAAGCAGCTGAGAGCTCTGTCCCTGCTGACAGAGCTGAGGCAGTCTGGAGTCCCACAGTGGTTTGCCCTGGAAGGGCCTCAAGGGACCTGACAGAGCCTGGATGCCCACCCTGCCAGGGCCAGGGACACTTTCACTGAAGCACTCTGTTCCAAGCCATGGAAAAGTGCCACCTGCTACTGAAGGGCCCCTGGACGCACACCCTGCCAGGGCCAGGGACACTTTTCACTGAAGCACTCTGTTCCAAGCCATGGAAAAGTGCCACCTGCTACTGAAGGGCCACAGCATTCCTTTATCCAGTCCTACATCTCTTACAGAAAAATAGGTAAACAACAGAATGGTGCTGTTCAAATTGTAAAGTGAAACTGTGTGCAGAAAATATGATTAGCAGTATTTCATCTTTTCCTTTTGTAATTGAAAGTGTCCCACAAGCCTTTACGTTCTCAGGTTGTCAGTGCCGCCTGTGACCTTTATTACATTGATGTAAAATACTGCAATTCACTTTTACTGGCAAATGGAAGAGGTTTCCAAAAAAAAGATGCAGTAACCACTCCTACACTCTTTAGTATCTACCAGCTTTAGATTCATCTATTTTTCTTCTTCCACCTTGGTTGAACACTGTTGTATGTACATGGTGGTTGCACTACACAAGAGTCTCAGCTAGTTCTGATTCCAGCCCTCCACAGCTTCAGGAAAATCTCTTCCTGTGCAGGAAATACAAATAAACAGGGAGAACTCTTTATTTTTGGTTGGTTTTTTTTTTAGATGGCTGCATAATTCTCATCACCACGTGACTGATTTACGTATCTTTATCAAGGAAACTTCTTCTATGTTCCTTTGTTTTCTGAAGTGGGATGAGCACTGCAGAAACGGTTCTGAATAGTTTGTGGAAAACAGGAAGAGGTGGGGAAAAGAATGAGCTGCTGGTATCTTAGGGCAGGGACCACTGACATGTGACTGAACGTGGTCTGTCTTTGGCCCACCCAGTAAATATTGTGTGTACAGAATTCCAAAGAGGAATAAAATTGTCCGTTAATGCTCCATGATGCCAGTCTGCTGCAGGGTCCAGACCAGGGGAAGTGTTGCTGAGGCAGACCCAAACCCATCATCAGCTGGAGGGGGGTGTTCTCCTCTGTTCCCTCTCCATACCTCTGTCCCTGCAACGTGAGAACTGTAATTTTAAAAAGAAAAAGAAAGGAAAAATAGACAAGGACAAAGTTAGCAGTGCTGCCCATGGCTGCTGCTGGCTTGTCCTGCTTCCCCTCTGGGTCTCGGCAGCGGGCTGCCTGCTCACACCACACTCTCCAGCACAGTAGGAAGTGGAACAAAACCTGACAAAAAGCTCTTTAGGGAAGAGACAAACCTGCACATACCAAAAGTCACTTAGCACCATTCTGGCTCTGGCTTCAGAGCGACCCAGCAAATGTACAGCCTCAGAGGGATTATTGTGTTTAATTCCACACGCTGTGTGCAAAACCTCGGTGAACTGAGGTTCAGCAGCAGTGCTGGAAAATGACTCTCTGTGCCTCTTTGTAAACTTGAAACCAGATAAACCGCAGACAGCAGCTTTTTCCATTCTTCTGAGGAATTCAATTTGCATATGCAGTTGTGTCAGGGCGGTTTGCATAACTTCTGAGGACGAGGTCCTTGTGTAAGCAGTCAAAATGTTCTCCACAGAAAAGGAAGAACCATTACCTCTGTAAGTTTAAAATGTTTCTAGAAATTAAACCTGTAATGTCTTTGAACTGACGTCAAAGAGCATATTGGTTAAAGAGCATTTTGTGGACTTGTTTATAAATTCCATTAAACTAAAATAAGGAATTTTATTTGCTGTCATGGGTGAATACAAGTTGCTTATGTGTTACCATTGGCTTATATGCCATATGCATTTCCAAGGACATGGTAGCATACAGAGGGCTAAAATAAGATTCTGCCATTGATCTACAACTATCCTATCCTACATCATTAGCATGAAAAATGTGGCAGATCTAATGCTGGTAAATAAAACAGTTTTTCCAAGAAGTGCAAATGGGAAAAAAGATACCTTCAAAGATCCTTTCCAGGCTGGTTTTAGCAGCAGCTCCTGGCATAGCTCAGAGAGCAGCACGTTGGCACTGTGCTGTGTGGCAGTGGGCTCAGGGTGACAGCCCCAGGGTGTCCGTGTGCTCTGGCACGGCGCAGCACACGGTGTGCTCTGCTTGGCTTGCTCAGCTGGAGGGATGTGCGCGGGTTTGGCTGAGGTCAGCGGGTTGGGGACGGTCAGTGGGACGGTGAGTGAAATGGTCAGTGGCATGGGCACGGTCAGTGGGATGGGGACGGTCAGGGGGATGGGCACAGTCAGTGGGATGGGGATGGTCAGTAAGACAGTCAGTGGGATGGTCAGTGAGACAGTGGGATGGGCACGGTCAGGGGGATGGGCACGGTCAGGGGGATGGGCACGGTCAGGGGGAGGGGGACGGTCAGGGGGATGGGCAGGGATGGGCACAGTCAGGGGGATGGGGATGGTCAGTGGGATGATCAGTGAGACAGTCAGGGGGATGGGCACAGTCAGTGGGATGGTCAGTGAGACGGTCAGTGGGATGGGGATGGTCAGTGGGATGGGCACGGTCAGTGGGATGATCAGTGAGACAGTCAGTGGGATGGGCACAGTCAGGGGGATGGGGATGGTCAGTGGGATGATCAGTGAGACAGTCAGGGGGATGGGCACAGTCAGTGGGATGGTCAGTGAGACGGTCAGTGGGATGGGGATGGTCAGTGGGATGGGCACGGTCAGTGGGATGATCAGTGAGACAGTCAGTGGGATGGGCACAGTCAGGGGGATGGGGATGGTCAGTGGGATGATCAGTGAGACAGTCAGGGGGATGGGCACAGTCAGTGGGATGGTCAGTGAGACGGTCAGTGGGATGGGGATGGTCAGTGGGATGGGCACGGTCAGTGGGATGATCAGTGAGACAGTCAGTGGGATGGGCACAGTCAGGGGGATGGGGATGGTCAGTGGGATGATCAGTGAGACAGTCAGGGGGATGGGCACAGTCAGTGGGATGGTCAGTGAGACGGTCAGTGGGATGGGGATGGTCAGTGGGATGGGCACGGTCAGTGGGATGATCAGTGAGACAGTCAGTGGGATGGGCACAGTCAGGGGGATGGGGATGGTCAGTGGGATGATCAGTGAGACAGTCAGGGGGATGGGCACAGTCAGTGGGATGGTCAGTGAGACGGTCAGTGGGATGGGGATGGTCAGTGGGATGGGCACGGTCAGTGGGATGATCAGTGAGACAGTCAGTGGGATGGGCACAGTCAGGGGGATGGGGATGGTCAGTGGGATGATCAGTGAGACAGTCAGGGGGATGGGCACAGTCAGTGGGATGGTCAGTGAGACGGTCAGTGGGATGGGGATGGTCAGTGGGATGGGCACGGTCAGTGGGATGATCAGTGAGACAGTCAGTGGGATGGGCACAGTCAGGGGGATGGGGATCCTCAGTGGGATGATCAGTGAGACAGTCAGGGGGATGGGCACAGTCAGTGGGATGGGGATGGTCAGTAAGACAGTCAGTGGGATGGTCAGTGAGACAGTGGGATGGGCACGGTCAGGGGGATGGGCACGGTCAGGGGGATGGGCACGGTCAGGGGGAGGGGGACGGTCAGGGGGATGGGCACAGTCAGTGGGATGGGCACGGTCAGGGGGATGTCAGCGGTGACTGGGAGGGTGTCCCCCTTGCTGAGGGGGTGCTCTGGCAGAGCCAGCCTGCGGGCAGGAGGCACACCCACCTCCCTGGCAGCCATCTGACTTGGCCCGCGCGCTGCAGCAGTGAGGCTGCTCAGGACTGTGCCATCGTGTGCTCTGGGTCACCCTCCATGCCACATGGTGCCACTTCAGCAGCCAAACCTATGTTCCTATCAGGAGTAGAAGCAAGAGCTGTGGGGGAAAGATGCTGCAAATCCTAGGGTTTTCAGAGTTGGCTCTGGTTTCTAATGTTCAAAGCAGAAAATTGTATTTGTGGTTGAAGACAATCCGCTGGAATCAAAACAAAAGAAAAAAGGCTTGTGAGCAAGTGTGTCACACTGTGGCCCTGATAATTGGGAATTGAATCAAGGGGTGGAAAAGCCACCTTAGAGGGAGGCAGGATCCAGTGAAGTCCTGGTGCTGGGGATTGTGCCCCGTCTCCTAACTGCAGATAGGTACTGGCAACTTGGGTCTGAAAGAGCTGAATTTGGATAGTCCTCTTTCAGTAAAAATTCTCTTACCTCAAAAACCTACACTGGGAACAAGGAGGGAATGGGATTGCTGGGGGAGAGTGGAAACAGCCTGAGAGCAGTGTTTTGGAGTGTTTAATGTGTGGTAGGGAAGACTTTGGTTCTTACCAA